CCCACATGTACCACCGGTTTTCGCTGGTACATGTAGTCAGGTTGCACCCTTGTAATTAGGTCAGAAATACGTCCGACGATCTCATTAATAAAAGTTATACACTAAAAATAGTCTATATCAGAGGGTCCTGAGAGCCATGGAACAGAGAAATTGAAGAAATATGAGACTGGACTTCTGGGCCGGACTCAGGGCTTCCAATTCTGAGCAATTTGAATGCAATCGGGTCCGAAAGTGGCACTATTTGAGCCATTTTGCAGAGGGTTGGTTGTTCAAAATGGCTACTCCTCTGGACAGGGACATTTTCTTCATTTTAGGGGTGGTCTGCTTCTGGTGAAAATTTCTCAAAAATTCATCGGTCAACCCCCCGAAAATTGAAAGGAAAATGAAAGGGGACACGTGGAACATCATTTTTCTGTGCAGCCTGAACACCTCTGAGAGTTGTATTTTTAAGATGTTTGTGAAGTATGGGGATTATCGCTGCTGTCTATGGGAATTTATTTGTAGTGGTGTACCCGTCAGTGACAAGCAACATGCAATATGGCGGCGTCCACGTACGTTATTCGAGACTTAATGTTTGGATAACCGGGCTGAATTCTTTTCTGTTTAGACAGGAACATTAGTGTCTGTGTTGTGGAGAATAATTAATGTTGCTTTTGCAAAATTTTCTATTGTCTCTGGCTTTGTAAGCCATCACTCTACTTTTTGCCATATTTGAAGCTGTTCAAAAATCAAAATCTCACGAGTTTTCCTGTGTGTTCTTATAAAAACCCTGACGGGGAGGCGGTTTGTGATCCTGTTCCGTGAACAGTGTTCTTGAGTCGTGTTCTCGCCGTTCGAGCGCGAGAACAAGAAACCCCTTGTCAAGAACAGGCGGCGCGAACTCGACCTAGATTATTGATATCTGACACCCCCGTGTCTGAAAAGAATTCCTGATATTCTAATCAAACAATAACCAACACCAGGGGGGTTCTCTCCGTCCCGTAGCTTGCTTCAAGTGTACAATTACGAAAGTTGTGATCAGCGACGGCGCGGTGAGACTATCAATATGTACGCAAGGAACGGCAATACAATAACATGACATTGCACATTACCTACGTGCACGTTTTCATCATGCCATGGTGCTTACTGCGAGTATTTTAGTGATTATATAACACTACCTTAGTCGATAATCGGAAATATCAACTTTAAGGATGAATGAGCCAAATATACATAGCACAAAGCTTGCAATCGTTGCCAACAAAAAAGCACTTACATTTCAAAGTACAAAGTTAAACTGTAGCGCAGCTGAGGAGGTTGCAGTAATTGAATGCATTGGTGAACCAGATTGAATAATTTCATTTCATCCAACCAGCCCCAGAGGTAAGGTACTGTAAATTCACACGGTGAAATTGTACGGGTCACAATCTGTATTCTGGTCTTCCCGTGTCCTATGGAAAAGTAAGTGGTATACCCAAGGACGTAGCAGGAGTATTTCCTTTTGGAGAGGGCATGTCAGAGTCAATTTGCCGACTTCTTGTAACTTGTTCGCAAATCTCGTCTCGTGTGAAATAGAAATACGTGGTGAGCTCAATTATTTCAAGCTTCAGGGGAGATGCCGACGGCTAACGTATATTGTTTATGTAACAATATTGAATACATACATTTGTCGACCAAAGCTCTATATATGCCGACTGCAATGGACGGGGGCACCCCACACACCTCCCGGTCGCTTCGCCCTGGGTATACCGCCGCTAGTAAAGGGTGATCTTTTCCTGGACCAACCACCACTGGTCTTGTGTCAAGTTTTCCCTTAGGGTTGTTGGGTTTAATCGCGTAATGACAGTGTGCCACGCCACATGCCTAGGCCATATACTGCAAGACAAGACAAATGCAGAACAGTACAGAAGTTCCCAACTTCAAATAGGGAGAAAGGCACACCGATGTGAAGTTAGTTCCTCGTTCCACGTTCGACATTCAACGTTGAACAAGTAACAGCTCCATATCCGAACGTTGAATAAGTAACCGTTTGACATTCAGGGTGCACACGCCTAAGAATAGTATGGTGCGCCAAAGGGACAAAAAAAACTGCACCGCGAACGTCCACTTCCATTCACATGTACGCAAATTACACTGTACGTGCCTTTTCACAATAATGTACTGTATAAACAAACAACTCTCTCCTCAAAGGGAACCTTGGGCGTAGGGTTCGTCGGGGCCAAACGGGTAACCGGTCAAAGAAGCCTGAGGTGTGGCGACTGTGTGTTGTGTTTTGGCACTGTAAATATTACAAGAGAAATACAGGTTAATGTTATGTCCTCCCTGTTTCACCAAACTGCTCAACTCAAACGAAATCATCAGTCAGACGCGCCAGCCATCAACGTTCTTTTTTGGGTGCCTTTCTTTACACTTTAGCGACCCCTTTGCCTGCATTTCAACCGGGCAAAGGCAGTTTTCCACGGTCAAAAGGGCTTTGAAGAAAGTCGTGTCTCTTCGCTGGACTTCTTCGCTTGCAAACCAGAGTGGACAAGTGAATTCCTACCACTACACTGAATTTCTCAAACCAAAATAAAATACCCGAACCCCATGCCCCGCCAGGAGATTACATCGAATCTGATGTCATTGTTCTCAATCGGAGACGACTCCTCAAAACCCGGGGGAATGGGGTCCTTCGAGGTGAAACAAATCCTGAAATGTAGGCGACGGATTTTGACGGCCGTGTAATTATGAGAGGAAAAACGCTATTTTTTTTTTAAATTAATTGCTCTCTTCTCGAAACAATATAATTGTGGGACAAGGACAAGCATCTAACCAACAATGTATATCGCATCAATGTATATTGCATCCTATTTGAATGCGGCCAAGTATACATCGGACAAACCGGCAGGAACCTCCCCACCAGGCTCCAAGAACACCGTGTGCACGGCCGACGAGGAGAAGATGGCAAGTCGGCCGTCGTCAAA